AAGGGTGTGGCAAGAAATTCTTTCGGATTGTTGATGAGTAAATTCAGTTAAACTGACCTGGGTGTGAAGAGCACATTCGTGCGAAGAGATGAATGAGGGCGCAATACTGCTCGAGGAATTTGCAAAACCAGGAGAAAAACAAGCAGTGGCGGTCCGGAAGTGAGCGCTGAAGCGCGGCCTGCGCATCCTATGCTTTTTCCCGCATCCTCACCCATCCTTGCACTCATTTGAGTTTTTGCTATGGACACGTCATAAAATAAAATTCTATGACAGCGAAATTATCTCATTTTTTGCCCGTAATCTTCACTGTCTAATTAATTTTAAAAGATTTTTTTTTAAAATGTTGCTGTGCGAGAATTGCCAGCCTCGGACCCGCGCAGGTTTTCTTGCCATTCGATTGCTGATCAAACATGCTGCTGAAAACTGCCCCTTCAGAAAACATTTTTTTTTTCAAAACAGAGGTGCATAATGAGAATTTTCGAGAGGATTCTGATGAGGCAACTTTCGATTAAAAATCATTTAACGGTGTTAAGTTCTAAATTTTTAACAGTCTCACGCCAAATATCGAGGATTCCGTTCTACCAGTGAAACCACCAAATTCTGTTCAATACATTTATTCGTTCTGGCCACAAAATTTGAAATGACACACGCCATGGACCCGCAATCGCTATAGAGTTGATCCAAATTAGCCCTCGAAAGAAAGGACTAGCGGCGTCTCTGCCAGCGGGTAATTGCTATTGATAAGTGATACCAGCCAAGTTATATCGGAGTGACTCCAAAGCTCACTGAAAGGGAGTTTTGGGGAAGTTTTTGTCTTTTATCATTTCAAATAAGCAAATCCATCACAAAAATTTTCGACTAACTCAAGGTAGCAAATTGGCTTAGTGGGACATTTTTTTGTATCAGCAGCTGTTTTACAATTGCCAACAGTAACTGTGAAGATGGGTTTATTGGCATAGATAATGACTGACTATTTCAAAAGTTTTTGTAGAAAGCAATGTTAATAATAGCGGAATTGGGAAGAGAAGAAAGAGTATTTATTTTTTAGAAAAAGAAAATAAAAGTGAAGAATGTTTCGGGTCCACGAAGACGAATATATCTGTTTTCAATACCACAACTGAACTTCTTCGGCAAGTAATTGCTGGAACTGGGACCGCCGATATCATACAATTGAGCACTTTAAGAATTTGGCATTAACAATCCAACTGAAATTGTAGATATCCGGTTTATTCAAGCAATGTACGAAAGGCGTGACGGTGAAGCTGGACGATGATATGCTAAAACATTACTGTAACGAGGACACATTCATTATTGATATCGAGCAGGCGCCAGAGGATCCGTCTTGCTGCACCGTAACGCTTGTCGAATTACCGCCTTCACACTTCTCACAAAATTCATAACACACGCCACTTCACATCGCCTTTCTTTATTGTTTTCACTCTTCGTTTGTCCTGTTACTTGAAAAGTGTTTCATTAGTAGTTTCGTAGTAGTAAGAGAAGCTTAGCTATCAAATGATACTTGGATTGTTGAGGTCAAAGTTCACAGCCGCTGCACCAAAAGACAGATTCCTGTTTGCTCCTATTCAGGCTCATCTGTTTCTTTCGACGAATGCGTGGCAGATTGTGCTTTCCAGAAACCTACAGTTAATTGGTGTGCGCGTGAAGAAAAAGTAGCATTTAATGTGGTAGCAACGTAATGTAAATACAATTCATGTTAAAAATATGCGTAGAACTGGTCTGACCTCCTTTCTCCTCCCACGCTCTCTTCCCAAGGATATCTGCCCAACTGTACAAAGAGGGTACTAATTCGTGTAAAAGTGGGTTCAAAAATTTTTCCTTTTTTTTTCATTTATAGAACAGAAGCTAAAATTTAGCTTTTTTTCAGTTCTAATATAAAACCGGTGGATCAGAAAACCTTTCTTCTGTTACAGTCGGGTGAAGTTCCAAATCCTAGAAGTGGATTAAGAATCGTTTAGTTCAGCGGTCGCCATACGCGCTGTTGCTCCTATCTGATTAAGAATTTGACAATTATGCCCTAGACCTCAATTTCTGCATATTTCTCATTGGATGGCATCTATGCTCCGAGACTGAAGTCTTAACAAATTTGCGTTCCCTCAGAAATGATTGTTTCTGAAGATCCCCATTTGGATTACAGTTGTATGTAAAGGCTCTGATTTTACCATGAACACCCATCACATACGTACATAATCTCAAAGCTTTAATCTCACACTGCATGAATGAATAAACCTAGTTCGGTTAGCGATTCAACACTGCGACATGGTCAGAAATTACGGTGATTTCGAATTTTAGTTTTTGATTTCATTCGATTTCATTTGTTCAGTCCCTTTATTAATAATTGATCTTCAGCAGGCAAGTGACTAGGTAATTTAGTGTCGCTAGTTGTACAATTTCTCTGTGCCCTCTGGTCGAACTGCGACGTTACGTACAGAAATTAGCGAAACAGCCACATCAATGAAAATCATAGTTGGTTGTTTTTTTTCTGCGTAGCGATGTTTGAGGGGCAGAAATTTTGTTGAGTGCTCGAGAAAATGAATTTTGACAGCTTCAGCTGCTTTTTGAGCAGGTGCTTTTCTGGATATGCATCCGAAGCAGCCGCAATTCGATCAGCTTCTCCATTTCATTTTCCTTGTTGTCCTCACTTTTCATACTTTGTTCATATGAATTTCACTCTTTTGCCATTTTTTTTAAAACTTGGTAGTAATTCCTGACTACAAATTTGCTTTTACGACTGCACTTAGTCCGTGATTCCTCACTTCTTCCCGTCCTTATTACTTTCTTTCCATTTGTTCTGAAAATCGTTCTTTCCTTGTTCATTTTCATGCAGCTTCTGCAGACCTCTCGATTCGATTTGAATGTTTTTCCTTTAGTGAGACAAAATTTTTGAAAAAACACAAAACACACAACACTCGTTTTGTAGTTCTATGAGGACGATACTGAGGAAAAATTAAAAATTTTTTCTTTCCTCTTCTCCTCAGTTAGATCTAGTCGCAAGCCTGTTTACGCGCCACTGCGCTCCTCTGCTTTTATATCCGGTAGTACCATTGTTCATTTATAATTTAAGCAAGTTGCGCCTGTTTGTTTGTTTCTTTGTTTACTTCCTTTCATTTTTTGTAAATACAGAATCAAAATGCATTGCTATGAAATAAATGATGTTGATCCATCAAGAGGTGCGCTGATCGATTACCATCTGCGCCCATTACACCCACACTTCGCTCCTCAAAAAAATCTTAACAAAAAATGCATTAGAAATTCCAACTAAATCTTAGTTTCATAAATAAATAAAGCAACTTTTTTGTACCTACTAAAGAATTTCACAAGGCGAGGAAGTCAGGCAAAGAAAAAATCGGAAGCGAAGGACTCTACAGCACAAATTACATAGGTTGTTTGGCTTTCCATAGAACAGAGTATATTCGCGTCCTTTCGTTCACATTTCGCGCTATTTTTGCAATTTCCAGTCAAACTTATAACGTCCCTGACATAACTTATAACGTCGAATCTAACATTCTGAGTCTAGTTTTTGCATTTCAATAGTTTGCCGCATTTTTTCATTCCATCCGGATGGTTTTGGTCCTGAGGGTTAAGGCGGAAAATGTAA